GATGCCTTTTGATAATTTTATAATTAAATTATTTGGAGTTTTTCATTTTGAGTTTGAAGAACTCTTTACATATGCTAGATATTAATCCTTTTTACTGTTTTGTGGTTTTCAAATATTTTCTCAGTTTGCATCTTTTCATCCTGTTAACAGGGTCTGATACAAATAAAAAATTTTTAATATTGGCTCAACTTATTATTAACTAATTATTTTTTCTTTTATGGCTCATGCTTTTGATTTCAAGTTTAAAAATTCTTTACCTACTCCTAGATCCCAGAGATCTGTTTTCTCCTAAAAGTTTTATAGATGTTTTATGAGTTAATTTTTATAAAATAAAGGGTAAATTTTAGGTCAACATTCACTTTTCATCTGTCCAGTTACTTATTTGGCATATATTTAATTACTCCAGCACCATTTCTCCTTCATTCATAGAATTACTTTTCTATCTTTGTCAAAGAAAGCTGGGTATATTTGAATATTTCTTTTAACCTTTATAGCTTTTTTTTAATATAATGCACTATTTGAATAAGAATGGTGAGAGCAGATAATTTTGCTTGTCCCGTCTCAGAGCAAACATTTAGTCTCTCATCCTTAAATACAATTTTAGCTATATATATAAACTATAAATATTCATACATATATTATTTATTTATTTATTTAGGAACTGTGTATTAAACCCTGGGTCTCTCACATTCCAGGCAAAAGCTAAGCTACTGAGCCACATCCTTAGTTCCAAGCTTAGGTTTATTGTAGATTCTTTTTATCAAGTTAAGAAATTCTCTTCAATTTCTGTTTCTTCAAGTTTCTTTTTTAAATATAAATCAGTGTTGAACTTTTTCAAATTCTTTTTCTTCAGGAACTATATGAGCATATAATTTTCTTCTTTAGCCTGTTAATGATAGATTTTGTCATATTTACCATACTTTACTATATTGAATTGTTATTCAATATTAAATTAGACTTAAACCCCACTTGGTCATGATGTACAATATATTTTATATATTTTTGAATTCTATTTCCTAATAATTTGTTAGAGTTTTGCATCATATTCAATAGAGATAATAGTTTGAGGCAAAATATATGGAATTGGTTTTAAATTTTCTATAAAGTTTGGTAGAATTCTCTAGAAAAACTACTTTATTGGAGAACAATTTTGGGGGGAGGCATTTAAATTATCTATTCCATTTACATAATGGTTAAAGATCTGCTCAGATGATGCATCTCATATTGGATCAATTGTGGTAATTATGTGATTTTGAGGAATTGGTAAATTCGAATTTAGATATGCAGAGTTATTTGTAAAATGAACTTACTAATCTTTTGATGTCTCAGGGCCTGTTTTACTCCCGATGTCAGTCATTTTAATCATCACTGTTTTGCTATTCATAAGTTGTTATAAGCTGTCCATGGGCTGTGTGTGGACTATGTTGCTTATCGTAGCCTAGTGAGGGGATAAGTCTGGCATTGGGAACTTCCTGTGGCACCCCCACAGGGATTGACTGCCTGATACAGGTGAGCTTTCCCTGCAAGCTCTGCCAAAGATCCCACACAAGCACCTGAGATGGATGTGACCTGAGAAGATGCCAATCAACCTGCTGACTACTAGACATCAGGAAGCAAGACTCTGCCCTTGAAACCTTATTCCTGCCTTTGATGTACCCCCTTAATTAAACCATTGGAACCATCTTTCCTTTGTCTAGTTCCAGCACCCATGTGGACTAGATCTATCAGGGGTTTTGCTTTTGTAAATATATTTATGACTATTTGTGTTTTATTATTCACTAATTATTTGAGACTTTAAGTTTTCGGGTGGTTTTCATCCTCGTGGGCAGGAAGAGGAAGCCTCCAATGAGACACCTCCATTAATAAGTCTTACCAGAAGTTTGTGTGTTATGCTGATCTTTCAGAGAAACAGCTCTTTATTTCATTGATTTTTCTCCATTGTTTCTATTTTCAACTCCACTGCTTTCTATTCTTTTTTTATTATTTCTTTTTTTCATGACTGCTTTATCTGCTCTTCTTTTAATGTAAACTTTGTGCCCCGTGTTGCAGACATGCTATTAGAAGTTCAAGGCTGGGATGCAGCAATCTGCGTTTTAACCATGCCAGGTGCGATGCACACTAAAATTGGAGAACCACTTTCCTAGAGAAAGGTGACATTGCCATCTATCTTGGTTACCACAGTAGCTTCCAAACTCTGGTTTCCTTCCATTCTTTTCTCTGTACTGAGATTAATATTTACATATTAATAAAATAAAAGTTACATTTCTCTATTTTTTATAAAATAATCAATGACTTGCTAATACACTGGGGTTAGAGACCACAGTATTTAATGAGGGCTGTAAGGTTCTCTGAGGTCTGGGAATCAATCTGCTTTGCAGGTCTTATCTAACACAGTTTCTCACTCTTAGCCCTGGTCTTCTCTCAGGCTTTTCTACTGTCTTATCTAGGCCCTCCCTTGGACTGATTCCTTTTAATACACCCTTCAGAAGATGTTCTTCCCTGAGGGAAAAAAAAAAATCTTTGTAGCTTTCCAGGATAAAGTCTCCTATTCTGCTATTCAATTGATCAAGTACTTTTTCTAGCATTGATCCCAGTTGTAATTTTATATTTAGTATGTGATTATTTCATTAATTGCATGTCTCAACACCTCAAATTAGTCTTTAGGTTCTTAGAAAGAAAAGACCCTGTTTGCTTTTTGGTTGCCATTATTTTCTTCAATATTGGCATAGTGTTTACTGTGTGGTTGACACTTGAGAAATATTGAACAAGTTTATCAATGAGTGACTGCCAAAGAAAATGTATCCTAACATATGTTGAGTTCCCTGAAACTATAATTACTCTCCCCATCCATTTGAAAAACAGATACTGTACTGATGCTGTCCCTGGAGCAAACATCTGTGAAAAGTAGGGCAATTCCTGTTCTACTTGCTGCTAGAATTGATAAGACTATCGTCCTACTATACTGGAGAATTGCCATCAAATATTAAAGCTCAATGTGAATTTTGCCTATCAAGAATTAAACAAATCAGTGGTTGATTTTTATAGCAGCATTGTTTCTATTGTCCATAGAGCTAAATGGAAACTTTATAATCATTTACAACAACTTTTTGTAGAAAAACAAAATCTGGTCTCCAAACAACTTCCTTACAAACAAATCTGATTAACATACCCCTACTTGCTTCGGGGGATTTACTACATAAGCAGAAATTGGTTTGTTTATGTTTTCCCTTCAACTTCTCTACAGTACAAATGCTTTTCACTGCCCCATAGCCCTTTTGCATTCTACCTCTAAAATTTAGAGCAGATATCAAACTTAAAATTAGAACTTCAGAAACATACATATTAAAAACAATTACAATTGATGACTTTAAAAACATCGATTCCCCTTAATACTTCTACTAGACATAAGAGATCCTTAATTAGTGATGAGAAGGGAAACTGTATGGCAAACCTAAAGTAAAAAAATAAAGGTTTCTAAATTCTAAAACAAACAGTTTCTATACTTCCCCAAAGGCTTCCAAGACCTCTCTATCAGTACTTTCTTTCTGGGACAAAACATCATACCCTGGCCAACTGACTGTTTTTCCCATTGGGTTATAGGATTCAAGTGATAAATTTACTTTTAAGAGTTAAAGATGCAGTAACTCCCCTAAAGGCCAAATCTGATATAACAGAGACACCAAGAATCTGCTTAAAGTCTCAAATCAGGGGATGTTTTAAAAATGTCATTAATAAGGGTTGGAATTGTGGCTCAGTGGTAGAGCACTTGCCTAGCCTGGGAGAGGCCCTGGGTTCCATCTTTAGCACCATGTAAAAAAAGTAATTAAAATGAAGTATTGTGTCCAAATACAAGTAAATAATAAATATTTTTTAAAATGTCATTAATACAGTGGATGTTACTCTGCTTTGATCTTTTCAATTCTGTCTCACAAAGATAGATGTCATCTGTACCATCATAATTAAATGTGGAGTATTTTTATGAGTATATAACATGTTACAATTTATGTTTCATAGCTTACAAAATATATATATATATATATATATGAATAAGTGCAGTGTGTGTGTATGTGTATATAAACATCTTTAGTTTTTATTTTTAGCACATAATAGTTACACATAATATTTGGTTCATTTTGACATGTATTAAATGCATATTGCATGTTTTTCTCCATTTGCATAAATCTTCCTAACAGTATGTATCTCTTTATATGTACATGTGTGTGTTTATATTTATATATATGCCTGTTTGTATGCATACACATGCACACATGTATACCCACATGCCTTTCTATCAACAGAAATAAAATTTTATTTTATGTTAAGCTCATAACATATGGATTAGATACATTTCATCCTTTCTTTTCCCAATGAAAAACAGGCAGTTGTCAAAGCCCTTGTAAGGCTAGAAATCCACCCATGTCTGTGCTTGAACTGTGCATATGGTGTATCATTATGTCTTTAGGAAGAAATTACTGTCAAACTGCCACAGCTTTCACCAGACCCTCCCAAGTCTTGTGTGATAATATGTGTACAGTTTTCCCTCAGATTGAATCACATGTAACCAGTGGCAAAGTGGAGTATATCAGAACAAAGTAATGGTCAGCATAAGGCTCAAAAAGTCTTGAAAGATGAAAAAAATTACCTATATGAAGAGATCTGATTTGAATTCTTTATTATATTTTAATTGTATTCTTTACAGAAGGAATTATAAGCATTCCCAAATAATAAACTTAATAAAATTCTTGACTCGTTTATTATAGCTGGAAAGCCAGTCAATTTGCAAATTAAAATATTAGATTTAAAGAATGAGTTGTACTTGGGAATAAGATTAAGGTATTTTAAAGTGAGCTCTGATATTCTTATAAGAGGAAGATAAATTAAGGATAAAGCTAAGAAACTGAGGGTAAATCATTTCATACCCGAACAGTGGTGTCTAACTGTTTTTGGCCATCTGGCCAAGGATAATCATCTCTAATAAAATTTCTTGATAATTGTTTCAGGTAAGAGGAAGTCCTAGGCTTCAAGGGAGTCTGGGTTCCTTGGAAACATCAGGGCACAGCACATGAGTCAATTCCTCCAGGTGAGACATGATAATTCTATCACCTTCTTTTGTTTGCATGTTGCAATAACAAGGGGAAGCCTGCTGGGATCTCTGGGGGAAGATTTTTCTGGGGGGAAAAAACGACCTAATGAAAAGACATTTCTCAGCAATGTTGTTTTATATGTCGGTTATGCTAAGAACAAAGACCAATATTGGAAGATAGCAGAATCAAATCATGGAAAACACCTGTGTTCTTAATAATGAGACTGATTTTCTTAGTAGATCAAGTCTGGAAATACCCCACTTTCTCGATTTCTGATCTTGTGAGATAATATATTACCTATTGTTGACACTGTATCGGGTTGGATTTTCTTTTATTTGTAGCCTAAACCATTTAACCCATGTAAGTAGTTTATGCAAAGCTGGCTGTGTAAAAAATGTAACTCAGGGATCATACTGGTGATGGTGAATATTTTTCTAACTAACCTTCAAATTTTCTTTTTCCACTTGAAGCAAATTTAATCATAAAAATGCAACATATATCTTTTATTTTATCAATCATCTTTGAGCATATGGAAAATATTAAATTTAAAGAATGAATGAGTTGTACTTGGGAATAAGATTAAGATAAGTAAGACTTATCTGCATTTTTAGTAATTCTTTCAAAGCACAAGAATCAATCTTACATTTTTTAATCTACTCAATAAATGTTACCCAAATGTCTCAGTTATCAAAAACTATATGGTAGGCAAGAAGAAGTTGGCTTTTTAGTTGTGAATTATTACATGGTTCCTTGAGAAGTCAAATGAAACAACACCCAAAGCACACACAGAATTAGGACATCAGTGTAAGGTAGAATTGAGGGCAGCTCAGAAATGTTTAATGGGTTATGACAACAGGAAGTTCTGATATCAGATATGTGGACTACCGAAGAAGCCAGACCTTAGAACAACCAGGAAGTTTCCCAGAGCACACCCAAGTATATCTCAGGCAGTATGTCTAAGTCTGGAAACAACCTTAAGAGAACTGTGTTTAAGAATTCATTTGGTATTTACAATCTCAGTACTGATCAGATTAGATAAGCCTTACAAAATAACTACTCCTTTTCTTTATTAAACTAATGTTTCCAAAATGGGACAAACTCACAAGAGTTGTACTCTAAAAGATTGTAAATAGGGATCTGTAGATTGCTTAACAATTTTTTCTTTGGTGCAAAGAACTTGTGTGATATTGATTATCTTATCTCCAGAAAAAGTAATGACTCTGATTAAAAAGTCTTACAATCAGGAGAGCCAATGAGTTGGTGGTCAAGATGTTCAAAATCCCTCAGGAGTTACTCAGAAAAGTAGATTTTCTTTTTTTATGATATAATTCACCTAAAGTGTGGGGATTTTAATTCATATGTAAAAACCATTCTACACAAGTTAAAAAAAAATGCCCACAATTTAGTAGTTTAAATCTATTAGTTCATGCAATTATGAACATACTAATACAATATAAGGAAAATACATTTGATATAATATACATATCTTATCTATGACAAACTTCTTCCTTTTACATGTAAAAAAAGATTAATGAATGGATTTTATATAGTATTAATGCAACTTGATTAGGTAGACAACTCCAATTGATACATATTAAATAATCTGTTTGCCCTAAATATATCTGATGAGTTGTACAGCAGTCTGATTGTTTTTCAGTACTCGCAAATGGCCCATACATAGCTGGTGATAAAGTATCAACATTTAATTGTGGTTCTAAGTGGTTGGCAGTGTCAATGGCCATACCACCATGACATACCCAATCTCAGCTATCTGGCAGGCAGACTCCTGCTGGAACCCCAACTTTGCCTCCCTGTACATTTTCTTATCTTCCATCTGAGGTAATTGGCCCATATCATTCAATCAAATAGGCCAACATTCTTTTCTACCTAATGATCAAAACAGAAAAAAAAAATATGTTCTTTGGCTAGAGAATCTATTTTTTTTTCCCTGGGGAGAAAATGTCAGAATTTATAGAAAATTTTTAAAAAATTATTTATCATGATGGAAACTTTTAGATCATCTTCATTATGCATACATTATGCATATTTAAGCTCTGTGTGTGTGTGTGTGTGTGTGTGTGTGTGTGTAAAAGTAGATTTATTCAAGTAAGAAGAAAAGAGAGAGCACCTGTAGGGCAAGAAGAGACCCCAAAGGGGTTCCTGCTGCAGCATACTAGTCTAGGCATTTATATCGTTACTAGGTAGGGGCATTTGTCAATATCTATGCTAACCTGGTATTAGAAAAATGCCCCTTTTCAGCTTGAAGTAGACAGAATAGTCATTGCCTCTTTCTCCTAAAGGGAAGTTAGGGGCACTTCTTCAGAGCTGGGAAATGAATAAGATAGATAGTAAAACAGGCAGACAGTTAAGGAAATGCTCTCCCACGCCACAAAAGAGGCTACTCCATGAAATTAACCTGTGGAAACATCCAAATGTTCCAAATGTCAACTCCTTTGTTCTGACGTGGGCTGAGGGAAGGCTACAGACTCAAGGGCTAATCAATAGACTCAACACTTTTCTGATCCCTGTTTAAAATTTTCATTCTTAAAGAGAAAAATCTGGAAATAGATCATGAATCTCAGTAGAAGTCACATGAAGGAATTCTTGAAACTGTGACACATATTTTGTCAACTGGCAGCATACTCCCCTGGAAACATCCCTGGGCTAAGACTCAGATGATTTGTGTTCTAATTTACCAGCTAGACGTTGGGTGAGTGACTTCACCACCTTACTCTTATTTTCTCATCGGTAAATAGACGTGACCATACATTCTTTAATAAACTCTTGAGGTACATTTTTAAGATTTAAATGTCAAAAGTGGTGAAAGCTTTGTAAAAAGTCTATGATATTTAGATACATTCTGTTTTAATCTGATATTTTGAACTTTGTTGATAATTTTGATACAATTGGGCAGTAACTCTTTTAATGATGTATCAGTTAGTATAAATTCAGATGAATATGATATCAATTTAAAATGGCTGTTTAAGCAATGTCTTTATCTCTCAGGAAAAAAAAAAAAAAAAACAAATCTCAGAGTTAGCCATGGGGCCGGAAGGTCGTCGGCCTTGGGAAGGACCAGACTTCCATTCCTCATTTCTCTCATCTTTGTGTAGCTTCTCTTGCTGACATGCCCATGTGAGTTCTAGCTGTTGAATCTGTCTTCCCTGAAGGGCAAGAAAGGAAGGTGCAAAGGGTAAAAGGGATTCTCTTCCAACTGAGGCAGCCACTGCCAAGGACATTCCTGGAAGAAACACACAGTGACTACTGCTTGGCTACTCCAAGGGAGTCAGGAAAATGTAAACTTTAAACTGAGTCATCAATAGTTTCTTGTGATATTCTCCTTTTTTGTAACATAAACAAAACAAATTTTTTGAAGAACCAATCTGTATTTTTTCCTTTAGATTCACTCTGTCCTACCCCTGACCTCCACTATCTCTACCTGATCTAAGCTAAGAAATGAATCAATGCTCAGAAATGAAATCAGGGATGGGCTTATATTCAAAGATGCTTCAAGCAAAAATACTTGGAAATAAAGAGCATGATTTTTGCCTTTGAAGTGGTTGCTTTGATAACTTGAAAATACTACATGCTCATTTATTCATTGATTTTTAGTAAATTTGTATTGAGTACCTACTGTGTGGTGAATATTACAGAAAATGTTCAGTGGGTTAGTGTACTGGGGAATATTAAAATAGGGTGATTAAGAGCATGAGTGGGCAGGTAAAAGGACAGTATTTAGGTGGAAGGATAGGAGGTATAATGTGGGATAAAATAAAAACCTATTTTATAGGAAATTAAGGAATAGAATTTCTACTGTTAGCTAATGCTGATTAGCAATCCATATAACTGATTGGACAATTACACATAAAGTCTCATCTCTCCTTATTTCTGTTCCATATAACACATCTTATTGGATCACAAGTGGGTCCACATAAACACTTCCTGCTTTGTTTGTTTCTTTTTAAAAATTTTTATTTATATATGACAGCAGAATGCATTACAATTCCTATTATATACAGCACAATTTTTCATATCTCTGGTTGTATACAAAGTATATTCACACCAATTTGTGAAGATTTGTTTGTTTCTAATAGACGGAATTGATGATCACTTCAAGTGAAAACTGGACATGACCAAATCACATTCAAACAGATTTGCTAATATCAGTAGTATTCCCAACAGATCTATGCACTAAAGGAGAGAATGTCAAATATAATGTGCCTCTGCTTCACTGATGATTAAATAATGCCACTTTGATTATAAAGTCATAGTCATCTAAATAATTTATGAATGTAGTTATAATTTTTTTTACCAGTCACCATTTGTATTTTCTAAAGCGTTTTTTTTTTTTTTACTATGAAGATTTGGATTCCATTTAAGTCCTATTAATCATTTGTTTAACAGTCCTTAGGCATTTGCAATATGCTACATAATATAGTAGCACAAGTTGAGGTACAAATATAACTGAAGTATCAGGAAAAGTCCGATTTCTCATACCTACTTGCCCACCTCATCATGTCATATTTACGGTACTATAGCCATATACCACCTAATCCCATGGAACCACTAGTAATGTTTCCATTTCAGTCTAGTCTACCTTAATCTATTAATGGCTCCTTTTACAATGAGGAGAATCTGGGGATGTTCACTTTAGATAATGATCTGTTTATAGAATTAATTTGAACCATCTTGGCCTATGGACTATGTCAAGAAGAAGGAAGTGTATTCCTTGCCTTTAGGCTCTTGATTCATCTCATAAGTCGCCTGCAGGCCTACCCTGTGTTTAAGAGGAGGCTCCTTGGACTGAAGTACATGTGGTTTGGCAGGGCCTGGTGTGAACATGTAAGTGCCAGTAACCACCACTGTGTTCCAGTGCTGTGTACTCATTGTGATCATAGCCTGATCATTATCATGTCTGGTAAGGCCTGCTTCAAAGGAACCTTTCTTGTGATTTGAGGGAAAGACGCCAAAAGAAGACACATCTAGAAAATGTAGT